TAAAATGGAATACTATTCAGCCATAAAGAATGAGAAAGTAGATTCATTCATAGGAAAATGGATACATTTTGAGGATATACTTCTAAGTGAAATAAGTAAGTCACACATATGCAAATACCAAATAGTTTCTTTGGTGTGAAAAACTAAAATAGTACTCAAAATCCTAATTGGACAATTAGCAATGGGAAATAGGAAGAAAAGGACCAAAGGTGTAGGGACAGTGAGAAGGATAGGGAAAGGGGAATAAGGGAAAAGGAAAAAAAATGTGAGAAAATGTAAAAATGGAATTAAAGTATTTGTAAATAGAGAGGGGAGGAGGGGGTGAAGGGAGGGTGGGGACAAGGGGAAAAAATGAGAACCAAGATCTGGCATGTAAAGGTACAAGACCCCAGTAATGAATGTACCTGTACTGTCTACCTAGAATATACAATAAATTCAATTTAAAATTTAAAAATTCAATTATGTAAATTTCATCATCTCTGATAATCTGTTATACATTCATTGGCAAAAAGAATAAGTATCTTTATGATCATTTCATGATGATTCTTGATACAATTCTAGAATGTAACCATGCCTTATTTGATTTTAAGGATAGAAATAGAGTTACATAAATAAGTGATGAAATCCTCTCTATTTCTAAACTTAATTTCTAGAGAGAAAATATGACAACCATTTATATGAGTGAGGTTATAAAGTAGGATATATGAAATCTCCCAGTACTTCAGAATGTTCTTAACTCATAGGCAGTGATTCATTACAAAATTTGAATGTTTTTAGCATCAATACTAAAATGTCAATAAAATGTATATATGTAAATGTTTTGCCTTATTTTCTGAAATGCTTCTACTTTCATGACCTCAGTATGTTTCTTCTCGGTGTAATTAAAGGAGCTGTAAAAAGCTCACTTTTGCAAATCGTGGTTCTGTTGTTGAGGAAATACTGTTTTTAAGGTAAAATTCATACAGCAGTCATATATATGCCTACATTGCAGGCTAAAACAATGAAAATGAATAAGCCAGGCAGTCCATGTTTTGAATATGAAGACATGAAAAAAAGTTTTCTCAATGTTGTTGCAGGTGTTTTGGGTAGAAAATAAGGTTGATGACACAACAAACACTATATGAAATTTAAAAGCTTCTGCATAGACATGGTAACAAGACAGAAAAGTGAAGGAATAACCTACAGCATGGGAAAAATTTTGCCAGATACTCCTCAGGGGATTAATATCTAGAAAAAAATAAACAATTGAAATGTATACACACATCTCAGAAGTACAAATTGTCAGTAAGTGCCTGAAAAACTGTTCAGCATTTTTGCCCAATAGAAAACTGCAAATAGGAACAGCATCTTATTTCAGAAAGAACATGTATCATCAAACACTTTAAAAATGTTTATGAGGCTGCAGGAGGAAAAGGAACCATTCAACATCATTGGTGGGGATGTAAACTAGATCAACCATCTTGGAAGTCAGTGTAGGATTTATTAAAAAAGACAACTAAATATAGTGATTCCATTCAATGTAATGCTTCCTCTTTTGGGTATCTTCCCCAGAGTTAAAGATAACATATTTCAATGATCCATGCATATTTCTGTTTACAGCAACAGTACTCACTTTTTCTATTGTGCAGCATTAGTAAGCCCTATTGTCAGTCACCAGATATCAAGGATAAATAACAAGTAATCCTCAGTGTACTGTATTTAATAAATTATATGTGATAGTTTATATTTTATTAAGAAATGGGCTCTATGTTAGATTATTTTTCCTCACTATAGGTCAATATCTGCATGATAGACATGCTAATGTACCAAGAATGTAGCTATAATATTCATTAGGTTGGGTATATTAAAAACATATTCAGTATTTTGGGTTGATCAAATATTTCTACTTTGTACACCAGGGAACATCTGTAATCACTTCAACTTTGTTGAGCTTATTATGCGAATAGCATAATAATCAACCTCATTATATTCTCTACTGTGTTCAGTGCTATGTTAGTATACTGCAGTGTAACATGCACACACACACACACACACACACACACCTGCGTGTATAGTGGATCCTTGAAATTTATAGGGGTTACATACCTAAAGCACTTGCAAATTGTTAAAAACTGCAAAGTTCAGATATGCTCAGAAAAATGCCTACAAGTGCCTATTTTTTATAGTTTAAACCCTAAATATCGGATGTGTCTCATAGTTATGTAATTAATTTAATAAAATACGATATTAATGAAGCCTTAGAAGATGCAGAGAATTTTGGCAGCATCTTAAGAGTCTTGGGGCTTTAAGAAAAACAAAACTCAGAACACTTGTGATAGCTACAGATGATAGAGCAACATGATATGATGCCGAAATGCTGGGGCATCTGCCAATGGCTAAAAGAGCAGCCAATAAGCAGCAATGAGAACTGAGTAGTGCTCTTGGATTGGCTACTTGCAAGCCTCCCTCCAAAAAAAAAAAAAAACAATTGTAGAGTATATTGTCTGTTTCCGAAAAATTGCAGCAGTTTCCTCAATTATCAGTTAGGTTCTAACGAAAAATCCACGAAGGACAGGCCTCAAACTCTGAACCTTGACTTTGTGGGGGTAGAGAAGAGCTTATTTTTCTACTTTTCTCACTTTATAAAGGAATCGTTAGATTTCCTTTTACAATCAGAAGCTGGATGCTCCTACAATGGGTGCCTAAGGTCTTAAATACGGGGAACCACTGGCTGCTCAAATAAACACAAAAATTTAAGAACAAGAAGAACTAATAATGCAACCACAGTGCAAGCGGGAGGCTTTGAAGTCCCATAAGGAACCATTAATAAATATCTGTGTTCAAAGGCTTAATATTTTGGAGTCCGATGTTTTTGGATGATGATAGCACCAAAAAATCATATCTATTTTAAAAAATCAAGTATGCAGCAGTCTCTTCGCCCCCCCTTCTCTCTTTTATTTTCCAGTACTGGAGATTTAAATCAGGGCCATAGACCTCCTAGGCAGGTGCAGAGCCACTGAGCTACATCCACTTCTTTTCTACTTTATTTTCAGTTCATCAGTGAAAGACACCTTGGTTGACATTAATTTTTCTCATATTTTCCCACTTAGATCAGTGGCCCACATATCAATTTCCTTTAGACAGATACCTAGACACACAGAAGTGTGTTTTACCAGGTTTTATTTCATATTTTTATCAATTCATGTTGATGGTAAGATTAACAATCCAAAAAAGTTTTAATAAGTTAAAATTCATATCAATGTGTTTGCATTATATAAATTTTACATTCATTGTTTGAAAGTGGCATATGTATGCAGCACATCTGAACCTCTTTTACTCCTCTGTCTATCCTATTTCTGCCCTTTCTTCCATTTCTTCATTTTGTTTCTATTTATAAAATATCTATCTCATTTTCAATTACTAATCTTTTATTTTTCTTGTAAAAGTAGGTCAAGCAGAATACCTTCAATAGTGAATGGAATAATCTATAAATAGCAACAACCTGAATATGCAAATGTTATAGCTTGTCTCCAGATGTCCCCCCAAAGCCTCATGCAGTCATAGGTGGGGAGTTATAGGTTGCTGAATTAGGGCGTGTGAATGTGGATTAAAAGTGTGATGTTGGAATTAAGAATGTGATACCGGGATTAAGGGTGAGGATAATGGAAGCCGCATCCTGGGTATGAATGGCACCGATCAACAGCCTTACAGCCGGAATGGAATGCAAAGGGAGTGGAGGAAGACAGGCTCGCTGCTGCTTTGGCTGCTTGTTGACTTCCTGTCTGCTGCATCACGGAATATTTCTCCTCTATCATGACCCTCTGCCATTCCACCTTGCACTAAAGCCAGCTGACTATGGACCAAAACCTCTATGAACTATAAGCTACAATAAACTTTTCTTCCATAACTTATGGGTGTCAGGTATTTTGGCTCAGCAATGAGAAAAGTAACCAAGACAGTACATATTTAAGGATTTCAGCATCCTTCCTGTGTTTCTAAAGAAAATCCGCAAAACGTGATTCCAAGAAATAGAATCCCAAATGATGGGTGTAAGGCCACGTTGTGACCTCAGAAATGGAGAGCCACAACTGTGCAGCACAAGCATGTGATGATCACAAGCATATGAGTACAATGAGTGAAAACAAGCATCAGATTCACCTACCCAAAACTTTGATGCAGGCCTGCCTAGATTTTGGGGCACAAGCTTTGCCCTTGTATGTCCAGTAGGTGGGGTGTGGCATCAGCTAAAATAAGCATATTCCCTCTTTATCCACTTTAATCCTGCCAGTTTAGCAGGGTCTAACAATATTAAAATTTCCAGAAAAACATTGATAAGGCATTCAAATCATGTGCCATTCTCAGCAGCATGATTAAATCTCATGTCACTATAACCCATAATGTATCTCAGTTTATCTCATCACATAGCAATTGAGTGATCTCACATCATGGTGAGAAGGTGTGTACAATAATGGGCAACAGTCAGAAAAAGCACATTCACATGACACCAATTACACCATTTTGCGGGGGGGTACTTGGGATTGAACTAGGGACCTTGAGCAGCAGCACCACTGAGCTAAATCCCTGACCCTACGCCATGTTTTATTATAAACATTTCAGTATTTGAATCTATTGTGAATCTATACATGTGTATAATCATCAGTAAAATATTTTCATAAGTACATATACATGTATATATATATATATATTACTATGTGTGTATACTTAAGTGTGTGTGATTTATTACTATCTATCATTGGAAGCATACTTTGGGAACATGGAATCATATCCCTCTCAGATAAGGGGTAGTAACCTATTTATTTATTATTAGAGTAGAGAGGTACAAAACTCCTATCTGTCTGGCTTGTCACAACAGAAAAAAAGACAGAAGCTGTCTAGAAAAGACACATAACTGAAAAATTTTCAAAATGACAAATAGCATGTATATTGCCCAAGAACAAACACTTTTCCATTCCCAGGTCTAACTCACACAGATTCTTGAACTCTTTCTATCTTTACCCCAGGGCAATAGATTGGCTTCACATGGAATGTGACTGAATTTCAAAAAGAAGAAACCTGGAGCAGGTATGAAATTTTGAAAGGAAAGCACATTTTTAGAATGTTTAGAATTTACTGTAGAAAAGATTGAGTGGGTTAGTGGTAATGGAGGGGAGGTAGAGAGAGTTTCTCTCTGGCCAGGAGAATACAAATATCCCACAGCAGACAGCACCAGGAGACCAGCATTACCTGGGATCTGGAGAGAACTACTGAGGATGGGGAAACATGGTAGAGTTTCTGTTTGATAAGTTGTTTTTCAAATCAATTTGATTTTATATAAATATTTGTTCATAGACTTCTTTGTATTATCAACAGTATTTTTATTTGCCCATTTTTAAATCCACATAAAGCATTTTAACCTTTTCCTTTTCTAATTTATCAGTTAACATATTATGAATCAAGGACTCATAAGGTCACATTCAAATATTTGGTCAATATTCTTGCTTTACTTAATTTGTAAATGTTGTGATGTAGAAGAATCACACTTTCAAGAGGAAGCCAATTTTGAGCCTGCAGACAAAGAACAATGGGTTTCTCCTTGGTTCTTCCTGCACTGCAGTCTTCTTTGTAGGTGGCCTCCAGCTGGAGAGAACATCTAACAGAAAGAGTGCAGATCAGTGGAAGGCTAGAGACCCACAAGCAGAAGTCATGCAGAAGGAAGAAGCTACAGCCATTGGGTGCTTTTGTCCTTTCTGAGGTTGTGACTCTACTTTCCTTGGGACTTTCTACACACAATTTTGATTTTAACATGCATAAATTTACTGAAGTCAACCTATAATTTATATTCATAAAAATCTTGAAATGTCAGGTTCTAAGATAGATTCCTTTATATAGTTTCAGAAAAAAAGGGGTAATTTGACACTTTCAGTCAGAACCTTAGAGTGAGTTCAAATAAGCGTGTCTCTCTAGTAAATATTAGGGTGGTAGGTAATGAAGTTTCACACTGAGAAAAGGAAACAGTAGGATATGATCAGCTCCCAGAGTTAATACTTTTAGTTCTTGCTGCCTTTCACCAGAATCTTACTCACTCTGTCATGGCATTTCAGCAGTCTATCTTGCCCTCTATATTGGAAAGATGTTTAACTGTCCAAATGTGGATTTTTCCTTCCACTGCAGGTGAAGTAGGTAACTGTTTTCACTATTGATTGTTTTGTAGAATACTTCTGCTGAATAACTGCAGTATATGTATTATTTAATAATAATATTTCCTTGTTTTAATACTTTCATTTTTTTTAGTAAAATAGGCCAAAGCTAGGCATGTTGGTGCATTCCTATAATCTCAGCACTCTGGGTTGCTGACACAGAATGATTTCATGTTTACAAGTTTGATACTAGTCTGTGCAACTTAGCAACATACTGAAACCTGTTTCAAAAAATAAAAACAACAAATAAATACAAAAACAAAACAAAACAAAAAACAAAAGGGTAGCTGTGGGTGTGGCTCATTACAAGTGTCCTAGATCTAACCCCATCCTGAAATAGTAAAAAAGGGCTGGTTGACTGATAAAGTGAGAAAGCCTTGCCAATGAAACTAACCAACCACTATGTTCAAAGGTGACATCACACACTCTGTCCTCAGCTACCTACTCTAGGCAGGCTTTGTTCTCTAAGGTCAGTTGTCTCCACAGTACATAACTAGAATTACATGAGTACACTTATTGCGCTATTTCCAAGAGAGAGAAGCAGGAAAGTTCCACTAAATACAGTTAGAAAGCAGCTGCCTGCTCTGGAAAGCCAGGAGTTGTTTAAAAGCAGTTATCTATCACCAGGTGGACCATTTCAGTATCCCAGGAGAAACTACAGGCAAGGAAGAGTCTTGAATGAGACTTGCCACTTTGCTCCTCATAGCTAGATGAAGGATCACTTCTCCTTTTCTCAGATCTAAGAGAGTGGATGGGTCCTTGATTCCAAGTCATTGAAAGATAGAGGTGTGCTCTATAAGCTGTGCATAGAAGAACAGGAGAGGGAGATCAGGACAACCCATAATGTGACAGCCTTTCCTTAATTTTTAAAAAATTAATTTAATCCATACATTTTAGGTATACAATACAATACAATGACATTCAGCATTGGAAATTTGTACCTTTACATAATATATCTTAGTTCTTACTTTTTCCCCATTTCCTTGCCCTCCCTCCAACCGCTCCACCCCTTCCTGTTTACAAAGACTTTGTTTCCATTTTTTCCTTTTCTCATATTTATTCCATTACCTTATTTCCTGTCTCCTACCCCTTCCACTTCACTTTCCACTTTGGACATTTTATTCCTATTTCACATTATCTATTATACGTTTTAGTCCTTATCTATACTTTCAATTTCTCACACCAGAGAAACTATGCAGTATTTACACATGTGTGTCCTATTTATTTCATCTAAGAGTATTGCCTCAATGTGCATCCATTTAGCTATAAATGTTTCTAATTATTTTTTTCTTTTTATTGAGTTTATTGGTACATTTTAGGTATATAGTACAGTTAAATTCATTATTGGGATTTTTTATCTTTACATGACAGGTCTTGGTTCTCATTTTTTCCCCATGTCCCTGCCCCCCTCACCCCCTCCTCCCCTCCCCATCTGCAAACACTTTATTTCCATTTATTCATATTTTTTTCTTTTCCCTTATTACCTTTCCTCTACCCTTCCCACTTTCCCTACTCCTTTAGCCCTTTTCTTCCTATTTCACTTTGTCAATTTTCTCATTAGGATCTTGTCTACTATTATAGTTTTTCATACCAGAGAAACTATTTGGTATTTACACATATGTGACTTATTTATTTCACTTAGGAGTATATCCTCAAAATGTATCCATTTTCCTATGGATGAATCCAATTTCTCATTCTTTATGGCTGAGTAGTATTCCGTTTTATAGAAAAACCACATCTTCTTTATCCAGTTTCCAATTGATGGGCAAATGGGCTGTTTCCAAGTTTTAGCTATTACAAACTGTGCAGCTATAAACATAGGTGTGCACGTATCACTGTGATATGATTCTTTTAATTCTTTTGGAAAGATACCCAGCAGAGGGATGGCTGGGTCAAATGGAACTTCTAGTCCCAGCTTTTTCAGGTATCTCCATATCGATTTCCATACTGGTTGTACCAGTCTGCACTCCCACCAACAATGGAGAAGGGTTCCTTTCTCCCCACAACCCCGCCAACATTTCTTATTGTGTGATTTCTTGATAGCAGTCATTCTTTGTGTGGTAAGGTGAAATCTCAGTGTTGTTTTCATCTGCATCTCTCGAATGACCAGTGATGTGGAGCATTTTTTCATATATTTACTTGCTGCTTTTATTTCTTGGTCTGAGAAATGTCTGTTCATTTTGGATGCCCATTTTTGAATTGGGTCTTTATACTTGGGAGGGGCTTATTATTTTGAGTTCTTTATATATTCTAGATAATAGTCCTTTGTGTGAGGAGCAGCTGGTAAAAATTGTTTCCCACACTGTAGGTTGCATCTTAGTTCTGTTGATGGTTTCTTTTGCAGCGCAGAAGCTTTTTAATAAGATGAGATCCCAGTTGTTTATTCTTTCTGCTAGTTCCCATGATACTGAGAATTTGTTCATAAAGTCTTTTCCTATGCCAATGTCTTCCAGAGTCTACCTAACTTACCTTCCAGCAAGTTTAGTGTTTTTGTTTTTATATTTAGATTTTTAATCCAGTTGGATTTTAATTTAGTGCATGGTGAGAGATCATGTTCTAGTTTTAATCTTTGGCAAGTTGAGCTCCAGGTTTTCTTTTTTTTTTTTTCAGCTTTAATTGAGCTTATTGGTACATTTTAGGGATACAGTACAGTTACATTCATTGTTGGGATGTTATACCTCTACAAGACAAGTCTTGATTCTCATTTTTTCCCCTTGTCCCTGCCCTCCCTTCACCCCCTCCTCCCCTCACCATCTGCAAACACTTTATTTTCATCTTTTCATTATCTCACATTTTTTTCTTTTCTCTTATTACCCTTCCCCTACCCATCCCACCTTTCCTACACCTTTAGCTCCTTTCTTCCCATTTCTAAATGTCAGTAATCTTATTAGGATCTTATGTATTATTGCAGATTATTCACACCAGGGAAACTATTCAGTATTTACACACGTGTGACTTATTTATTTCACTTAGGAGTATATCTTCAATATGTATCCACTTTCCTATGAACGAATCTATTTTCTCATTCTTTATGGCTGAGTAATATTACATTTTATAGAAAAACCACATCTTCTTTATCCAGTTTCCAATTGATGGGCAAATGGGCTGTTTCCAAGATTTAGCTATTATAAACTGTGTCACTATAAACATGGGTGCACATACTTCTCTGTGATATGATTCTTTTAGTTCTCTTGGAAAGATACCCAGCAGAGGGATGGCTGGGAAAAATGGAACCTCCAGTCCAAGCTCTTTGAGGTATCTCCATATTGATTTCCATAGTGGTTGCACCAGTCTGCACTCCCACCAACAATGCAGAAGGGTTCCTTTCTCACCACAACACCGCCAACATTTGTTATTGTGTGATTTCTTAATAGTAGGCATTCTTTGTGGGGTGAGGTGGAATCTCAGTGTTGTTTTCATCTGCATCTCTCAAATGATCAGTGATGTGGAGCATTTTTTAATATATTTACTTGCTGCTTTTATTTCTTGGTCTGAGAAATGTCTGTTCATTTCAGATGCCCATTTTTGAATTGGGTCATTATATTTGGGGGGGCTGGTTGTTCTAAGTTCTTCATATATTTTAGATAGTAATCCTTTGTGTGAGGAGCATCTGGTAGAAAGTTTTTCCCACATTGTAGGTTGTCTCTTAGTTCTGTTGATGGTTTCTTTTGCAGTGCAGAAGCTTTTTAATAAGATGAAATCCCAGTTATTGATTCTTCCTGCTAGTTCCTGTGCTACTGAAGATTTGTTCATAAAGTCTTTTCCTATGCCAATGTCTTCCAGAGTTCTGCCTAACTTATCTTCCAGCAAGTTTAGTGTTTTTGTTTTTATGTTTAGATCTTTAATCCAGTTGGATTTTAATTTAGTGCATGGTGAGAGATCATG